CAGTTCAATGTAAAAAGCATGATGGCCTGCAAGGCGCACATCTTATACAAAAAAAATTTCCAGTGGGAGGGGGGAGAGGGGTTATAACTAATATAAATTACAAATTAATGTTTGGTTAAAACTAAAAAAGTATTAATGATTATTTAATTTTAATGACACAACTAGAATATATATTATATCATCATGTATCATTATCGATCACCTATTTTGCACCTATAGTGGATATCTACCTTCATCATAATATTATTTGAACTCGGCATTTACCTATATCTTATGTAATAACTTTATACCTAGGTATAAATTATATACATTTTTTATTAGAATTAACAATCATTGATAATCCCCTGAAATTTGAAAGTTTGTTAGAGTTTTGAATATTATTTATTATTATTTAATCGTATTTGTGTACACACAAATTGTGCATAATAATATGTGTAAGTAATATAGATGATGCACTAGCTACATAGGACGGGACAAAATAATTTATTTTAATAAATAGTATTAAATATTAACGTAAAAACTYGAAATAACTGTTTATTGCATAAATAATGATATATAAACTTTATTTTTTATATTTTGCTTATTTTATAATTTTTGTGACTTTATGTATAYATGATTGTATGGTTTAAATTATTAAATTAATTGTTTTAATATAATTTGTTCAGGTAGTGCAGATGCTATCATAACTTTGGTGAACGGTGGAGCAAACGTCGAATCGCATGACAAAGACGGACTGACAGGTAACTGCTTTACTAATCGGAACAAAAGTCGGAGATTTGGAAATTGGGGTGTTAAATATCGCTGAGGTTACTTTGAATTTTGAAATATACGTATAATAATAATATCTATCATCTATGCATGTGCAATGTGCATAATTTATAATCAATGGTATATACTATATAGTACTTACCCATGAGTAAAGCGCTACCCTCGCCATACAAATAAATAATAATATCATTCATCAAACTGATAAAAGTTAGTTATAATCATTATTCATTGACCCTAGAAGTTAGAACCTGATATGAAATGACTAAAACTATTATACATTTATACGAAGTAATCGCTTAGTTTATGTATACGATTAGGTTCAGCGACATTGATGGTACACTAGACGATGGTATCTATCATCTAAAATCTATACATTTACAAAATACCAATATGATGATCCATAAGATTGATATTATATTATTATTAGTATATAATTATCGATCGACGATCAGTGGTCATCGCCTGCTGTGATTGATCATCATAAATGAATTTCATCAATAATAATCAAATTTTATGGTTATTGCATAGCTTTGCATTGTGCGGCCAGTCGAGGACACGTGGAATGCGTCGACGGACTTTTGACATTGTGTGGATGCGAAGTCGACGCTGTGGACAGCAACAGTTGCTCTCCTCTGTTCTACGCCGTGACCTTAGGCCACGCGGACGCAACTGAGATGTTATTGGAACATGGAGCTAATCCCGATCGACAGGATGGAAAAGGAAGAACGTAAGACGATCAYCGCAATATCGCAACATATATTAGCTAACTATGTGACATTGCAAAATAGTTTTTAATATTTTTTTTTTATATACACAACGATAAGACCATATACATATAATACGTTACAAATTGCTGCTGACGTTGGGTTAAGGTTACGTTCYTATAACTCATATACCTAACCGTTATTGTTCACCCCATTATTGTTAACAAGACTTTTGATTTATATACACAATACTATAATATATTTAGGAAATATAGGAGGGTGTACACTGTACAAGGTATTATTTTTAAGATGTTAACAACTATTTACAATTCAAAAAAAATCATAACATGCTTCAAAATTAAAATATGATAAAAAGCCTATGACATTGGCTAGATAATAATCTTACCTTTAAATTTTATTAGAGGTAAATTCACTCTAAATTTTAAACTAACCGAGATACCCGTGTTCTGCGAAGAGTAAAATTTCCTATGTTATGCACTTGTAAGACGGAGACAACACATGTGGATATCACGTCCTCTTAAGGAACACAATATTGTAAGGTAATGAACTTTTTCACATCAGTACATCACCAACAGTAAAGCTGTTCAGAGAGGGCTTATAATAATTGTGAGAAGACTGCAATGTTTTACCCATCTATTCAGCAGTATGCTAACTATACGTATAGTCAGAATATTCATTATAAGAAAACTATTTTGGAAAATTACCCTCGCCCTAAAAAACTATGTGATAAATACGTTTAACATATAGTATAAGTACAACAATCACACTTAGCATTTTTTGTTTTTGTTATCAACTGGCTTGAATGTAATGTGTTTTGGAGGCTATGAACACCTCATTAAGTAATAAAAGTCCAATCGTCTATTACGTTTCAAAAAAATAGAAGAGATATGCTAGAGAAGAAATAAAAAAAAAATGGAACTCCGTACCCACGCGYCTCCTCCCCAAATCAAGCATTTTGTACTATGTATATTATTTGGAAATGGTGGATAATATATAAGTGACAAACGGATAACTCTTTTAAAATATTTCAGTTAACAAACGACAACTATTGGTTAACAAAATTAAACTCTTCGATTCACTGATAAGGTGTTACAACAATACCAGTATTTAGCTTTAATTATAAGTTTACTCTTAAATCAGATGCCATTATCACTTATCATTCCGAAATATAGCAATAATTATTAATTATTATCAGAATTGTTTTATTTGTACTTTAAGGCCAGCGCATTGCGGTGCATTTAAAGGACAATTGGAAACGGTTCGACTTTTAGCTGAACACGGTGCCAATTTATGGTTGCGAAACTCGAAAGGAGGTTATCCATTGCACGACGCTACGAGGTCGGGTCGTAAGGAGTTAGTCCTTTGGCTGATATCAATGCGTCCCGAGTCTGTAGATTATTATGATGACGACGGTAAACGACCATTGCATATCGCTGCTCTTAACAACAATTTGGAAATGAGTAAGGTAGAATAATTTATATAATTATGATTTTATATAATAGTAGGTATTTACGTACTATGAGGTTGTATTTGCGTATAAAACGGTCTTATAAATTATTTATTAACAGTTAAGGCAATTTCAGCTGCAGGCCAAAATAAAATAAAATAAAGGAATTTTTTAATAAAATATATTGTACTCATATTGTAATCACCACTTACCTATACTTCCAGAGCAATAACCAGATGAAAACATATCTATATGGTTAACTATTTGACTGTTATTTGGTCTTTCTTTGAACATTAATACATAGTTGTTTGAATAAGTGTAAGCTATTTGTGGATTTTCATGTTTTATTTTATTATAATAATGCAACTGCTAATTATAAATTGAGTTACACGGCGTTATGTATAGACAATATTGGTACATCAGTGTATCGAACAAATATTAACGTTTTAAAATATGTTCGACTATTGATCTACAGTAATATTGAACGTTTTTATTATATTATATTATATTTTGTTTTACCATGCCATACATATAAGTTTTTAAATTTTGACTATAAATTATTATAAAAATTAAATATTTATAGTATAAAATCCACCACCTAAATTATTTTCCCGAAAATACATGAATCATTCTTATCAGTTATCATTTATAAAAATTCATTAAATAAATTAAAATTACAGAATTGGTTGTACAGAYAATAATTTTTAACCTTATAATAATAAATGAGTAGTTCAGATTTAATGGAAGTCTCAAATGTAYCACAATTATTTCTTAAGTTTTCATTCGGGATAAGCTTAAGTTCGTTGCTTATTTGCCTATTTTTAAACTTAAATTTTTATTCACTTCACAAGTGTTAAAAATACGGCTCTGTTTCAACAAATCCAATAAAACGATAAATATTTATTAATATTTTTGTCGACCCTCGAATTAAATGTTTGAGATGACCCTCAGGTAGCACACAATTGGCRTAATGCGTATCCAAAAAGGTGAATAAGAGTTCTATATTAAGTGTTAAAAATTTGTAAAAAGTTAWAATTTACTCATTTTACATAGGTATACAATTTACTTATACACTCACTAAATTTAAGTTAATCAAACTAAAAAGATGTTGTTCAAAAAAAGAATCGTCGGTTAATTAAAAAAAAAAAAAAAACAACTACGTACAATTATAAATATATAATAAATTAATAAGTACCTATAAGTACATAAACTTTCTAATCAGCCGTACTTATATAATGTATTATGTATACGGATTCCGATGTTTTTTTWTTATTATTATTAACAAATTAATATAATATAATAAAATAAATGTAATATAATTATTATTAATTATAAATTATTTATTGAAACATCTAATTTTATATATAATAATTTATGTAGATTATTTTAGATAACGGAGCATCAATTAACCCAGTAATGAAAATCAAAGGGGAACGAATGACACCACTTGATGTAGCTCTACGAAAAAACAATAAACATTTAGCGAAGTTTTTAAATCTTTTTGGTGGTAAACCAGCTAGCAAGTTAAATAAAACTTTGTCTAAACAGCAATCTACTGTACGTGTTAAGACTAAAAGGTTGGTAGTTTAATATTAATTTAATTAAATATAAGCTATAAAGAATGTAACAACTGCTATCTAATAATTTTATTAAATTTATTTGCATTTATATACTAAAACAAATTGAACTAATTACATTTGRTACACCTTGTATATTTATACAATTGAAACTTCAATTCATCTATTAAAGTTGATAGTGTTAAGTGGAGCATTTTTTTATCTTTTAACTTTGTTAATTATAAATTACGAATGTTTATACGCTTTGTGGGTAGTGAACACGCCATAATCTACGTAGTACGTATATAATAAAAACTCAATGAGTCTCAAGCTATAATTAAGGTCGTACTAAATATTTATTTCATAGAATTGAATCTCGAAGAAATTCATATTCATCTGATTCAATTAGCCGAAAATATCGTAATGGAGGTGGTCGGAAAAAACAACTAATTTCACGCAAAGCTGAGAGCCCGAAACCTAACAAAGCATCGAAGGGACGCGTAGTTCAAGTAAATACAATTTACTTTTACCGTTAAATGTTAATAATGTAGAAGTAAATTTTGAAAAAGTTAAACTTAATAAAAAAAACTTGGTGACGCCATATAACGTAAGCAAATTCTTGTGTTGTGGTATATAGCACTTAGTAGTCTGGTCCATTAGTTTAGTTTTTCTTTAAATACTTACGTGTATGTTCATAATCGAGAAAATCAATATGAGCCCGATATTCTGGAACGTGCATGTTGCCATGTGATGACGTGGCCCAACCTATTTATGGTATACGGTATATTACGCAGTACGTTTTCTAATCCAAACAGGTACACATAAGGGCAAACGTGTTGACGAAAACSGTTGGCAAGTCGCGAGACGATAGAAAGTCGTGCGGAGGTGGAGGTAGTACGTTACCGAAAGCCCATCGAAAAAAGTCGACGGGCGTTGGCAACGAGCCAAAGRAATGTTTCAGCGAAAACGATATGTGTTGCGGCGGCGACGGTGACGGTGACAACGACTGCGACTACGATTACGACGACGGCGACCACTATGACGACGATGACGAAGACGACGACGACGACGACGACGATGACAACGTCGACGACGACGACGACGATGACTGTGCAGACGACGGTTGCGTCGAAGAACAGACAAACGGTTCGGCTGCGGCGGCTGCAGCTGATCA